TCCCTTCCCACTGTGCTGCTGACAGCAACGCTACTTAGCGCTCCTGCCCTATGACGCATTACCCAAACATGAGCTAATTATCCTGCCTGACTCCTTAGAAAGTAGGCAATTACGTAGTTAGCTCCGTTCTCCAGATGGGGAAAGCCTGGCAGAAAAAGAGGTTAAGAGGGGAAAGGCCAACGTAGGGTGGGGAGCATCCCTGCCCTTTGGAGGAGCAACGTTTTACCCATCTCAGATGTCTGCACTGAAGTGGAGCCCCATCCCTGGAGGTGTTCAAGGCCAGGCTGGATGTGGCCTTGAGCAACCTGGTCTGGTGGGAGGTGTCCCTGCCCATGGCAGGGGGGTTGGAACTCGATGATCTTTGAGGTCCCTTCCAACCCAAACCATTCTATGATTCTATGATTCTTCTAGAGTAGTTATAAAAGACCAGCACCTTGGGAGAGTGATTCATCCTCGCCCAAGACCTGTCCCATTGAGGTGGGCTGAGTTATCCTCTAGGAAGAGCACCCAAGGAGGCCACCTCCTCCGTGCTGCCACGGGGAAGGGGAGGACCTGGGAAGGCATGGACCCAAGCAGACAGTGCAAGTCATCTCCAAACCACAGACAGCAATGGATCGGTGCTCAAGAGCTCCCGGATCACGGGAGATACTCTGCTGGTGTCACTTAAGATGACTTTGATGTTCACCATGGAGCACTGTGTGCAGAAAGTGGGGTGCAAGCCCCGTCCTTCCCACTATCAATTTGGTGGCGAGTGCTCCATCACAACTGTGAACTGGGGCTATCTTTGGGGGGGAGAAAATGCTGAAATAAGCTATCTTTTATGCAGAGGGAAAGCGTTTAGCAGAAAGGCCCTTAAAATAAAACAACAGAAGGAGTCCAAACCTAATAACAAGAGCTCTAGCCACTGTGACTAAGTACTCCATAAAATGTGTAATTATGGCACTATAGCAACTATTGAATTCCGAGGCACATTTTGTGTCTGAAACGCAGGACAGAGCATCCTCTTTGGGTGGTTCAGGGGAACAATCACAACACCCAAGCGCTCCAGGTAGAAAAGGAAGCGTCCTTCCCACTATCAATTTGGTGGCGAGTGCTCCATCACAACTGTGAACTGGGGCTATCTTTGGGGGGGAGAAAATGCTGAAATAAGCTATCTTTTATGCAGAGGGAAAGCGTTTAGCAGAAAGGCCCTTAAAATAAAACAACAGAAGGAGTCCAAACCTAATAACAAGAGCTCTAGCCACTGTGACTAAGTACTCCATAAAATGTGTAATTATGGCACTATAGCAACTATTGAATTCCGAGGCACATTTTGTGTCTGAAACGCAGGACAGAGCATCCTCTTTGGGTGGTTCAGGGGAACAATCACAACACCCAAGCGCTCCAGGTAGAAAAGGAAGAAGCAGAGAACGTGCACCCAGCCTGCAAGCACATCCCCACGGAGCAGCCCTGCCCAGGAGCAAGAGATGAGCAAACATTTTTAGCCCTCGGAGCCGCTGCAAGCATCTCGTCTGCTTCCTACAAGCCCTCACTGAACCGTGGAGTGGAGCTGGTGGGCACGGAGAAGGTGGCACGGGGGTGATGTTGCAAAAAAAGTGCATTTTTACCAAAGCGTGGAGGGCACAAGTTCAATTTGTGCTGCTGTTCCCATCTCACCAGCTTTTCCTGCCCTCGGGTGCCCCGTTTCAGTTCAGACGGGGCTGAGGACGCAAGGGTACCAAGGAGATCTTCTCTCCTCGGCGTGGCTCAGAGCCACTTGCATCCCTTAAAAGGCCATCTTCTGACTCAGATACACTCTCCTCCATTGTCTGGGGCATGTTGTTTTGCAGCTGGAGACTGGTGAATGAAGCCGAGTTACTGACCTTGATTGACAAAAAAAAAAAAATAAAAAATATGCAGGCTTGTGCTTTGTAAAAAGCTGGCTTTTATGCAAAGAATTATGCCAATGTGCCTATGGAGGCACTGGTATTTCAGGCCCCTTTCAATCTTCCGGATTGCCAGTGAGCTCTTTCACTGATTTAAGCCTTTAACCAAAGGACAGATGCTGCAAGAGGTGGTGAAGAGGGCTCAAGCAGGTATTTAAGTGCGTGGCCCAGGAGCAGATGCTTGGAGCAAGGCCTAGATCAGAAGAGGTGTTTTATTCTGTTGAAGGAGGCATTGTTTGATTACGTTGTAAGGAGGCACAGATGATCCCTCTCCCCAAATTGGGGAGGAAAAAGAAAATAACCTGGTTTGGAGGCTTGCTCTCACCCCTTTTCAGCGTGGAAACGCATTGAGGCCCCACAGAAAATGCATCTCAATCAGTTTTGCCACACTTTTCCCCCCCATCATGTCATTAAAATGAGAGATGATCACAAGTGAGGCCAGTTTGGGGAGTTTTTTTTAGAATTGCCTCCAGTCCCGCTCCAGCCTTGCCCACAGGTTAGAGGTAATTTTCTTTGAGGACTTTGAAGCAGCAGGTGTTTGGCTTGGGAAGATGTTCTCCAGCCCCGATCCAGTGTGGACAGGTGGGTTTATTCCCCTCACACGACATACTGAGCTGAAACGAAGCCCTGGCTTTGCAGAAAGAGGTCGGTCAGGTGAGCATTGCCAAAATCATGTGGCCAGCAGGTCGCAGGAGGTGATTCTGCCCCTCTACTCTGCACTCGTGAGACCCCACCTGGAGCACTGTGTCCAGCTTTGGTGTCCTCAACACAGGAAGGACGTGGACCTGTTGGAACAGGTCCAGTGGAGGGCCATGAAAATGATCAGAGGGATGGAGCACCTCTCCTATGAGGACAGGCTGAGAGAACTGGGGTTGTTCAGCCTGGAGAAGGCTCCAGGGAGACCTCATAGCAGCCTTCCAATATCTGAAGGGAGCTACAGGAGAGCCAGGGAGGGACTCTTTGTCGGGAAGTGTAGTGACAGGACAAGGGGCAACAGTTTTAAATTGGAAGAGGGGAGATTTAGATTAGATATTAGAAAGAAATTCTTTACCGTGAGGGTGGTGAGACACTGGAACAGGTTGCCCAGAGAAGCTGTGGCTGCCCCATCCCTGGAGGGGTTCAAGGCCAGGTTGGATGGGGCTTTGAGCAACCTGGTCTGGTGGGAGGTGTCCCTGCCCATGGCAGGGGGGTTGGAACTGGATGATCTTTAAGGTCCCTTCCAACCCAAACCATTCTATGATTCTACGAAAATCTGGTACGACAATACCCCGTCAGGCCAGCAACGCCGCTTCCGCTCCGAAAACAATAGGAGTTTACACAACTGCAGCCCACTTGAGGTTTTTTGCCTGACTTCACGGCTGAGCAACGAGCCCCCAAATGTTACAGCTCTGCCTAATGTCCTTGGCTCTGTCCTGCTTTGGAAGGAAACACGCTGCGGCCTGCCCTGCCAATGCTATTTCCTCTCGCTCCTCTTTAAAGGTCTCTTTTTCCAACAGCTGATCGGCTCGGCGGCTCCGGGGAGGACGTGAGATCCGGCTGGCCCACGAGCGAGCTGGTATGGCCGCGTGCCATGTTGTTGTTTGTATTGCTTTCATTTTTTTGGCGTTACTTGGCTCTTCCCAACGCAACTTGTTTTCATCCCGAACTATGCGCCCATTACATCTCCAAACACCCACGCAGGTTTTTTGCATGAGGAAACTCGAAACACACGCGGCAGCAGAGGAGCGAGTTTGTGACGAGGAGGCAGCAGGGGGGGTGGGGGGGGGGAAAAGGATGAGATATTTGTCTCGAGGCAGGCACAAACACAATTGCCAAATCCCCGAGCTGCCCCGTGGTTGGATTTCATGCTTACTGATGACAAGCATGCGAACGTATCCTCCTGGCCAAGGGATGCTGGTGGGGTGGGGGACACACACACACACATCTCTTGTGGTCGCCCTGGCCTCTCCCAGCAACTCCAGCTACTGTCCGAGGCACAGCTCCAGGGACCTCCTGGCTCTCTGACAAGGCTGTCCCCTGAACACCAAAGGGACTCTTTTTTTTTTTTTTTTTTTTTTTGGAAGACGGCAGACCAAAGGGTCTGTTTTTTTTTTTTTTTTTTTTTGCTGCTGGGAAAGCTCTCCCTTCCCCTCTGCGGCCTCCTCCTCCTCACAAAGCAGCACAGATCCCCCTCTCCGGCCAGCTCAGGTCCAGCAGGCACCAAGTCCTGCTGGAGGGTTTTCAAACCAAGCACAGGGGTCAGAAATAGGACTTTTCTGCACGGTATTTGCTTCCTAAGTGCCTTCTTTGGTTTGTTTTGGTGTTTTTTGGTTGTTTTTGGTTTTTTTTTACCCTAAAACAGTGGGTCTGAGTCACTGCTGGGGACAGCACAGGCAGCCTCGGTGCCCACTGGGGGCTCGGGATGTAGAGAGGAGGCTCCCAAGCTGTCCAGCTCTGCAGCGTGCCATTCCCTGCTCAGAACATGGAAAAAAAAAAACCCAACCCCTCTCCCAGTGACCACCAGTATCGGAGCAGCACTGGGCAAAAGCTGCGCTGGAGAAACCAGGGGACTGGGTTTGCCCCTGGGGAATTGCTTTGCTTCCTCACAGCCTGCCCCGCTGCCTGCGCTGCAGACAAATAAAGATTTATTTATTTTTTTTCCAGGGCTGTCAGCGCCGTGTATTTCACCGGCACTGCCTTTTGCTTTTAAGTCCAAAACGTGCTAAAAATAAGCTGGCTCCCCATCCAGGTTTTATTTCAAGTGGTACCGGGGCAGAGGAACTCCTGGGGTGGTTTGCAGCGTTGCAGCGGTGAGCAGGGGGGCTGCTGGCTCTCCCTCCTCCTCCTCCTCTTCCTCCTCCTCCTCCTGGCTGCTGCAGGGCTGTCACTCACTGCTTGCTCACAATCCCCTAAATTTTCTTATTCGAGGAGCACAGGTTTCACACGAAAACCTTCCTCTTGGGTTGTTAGTTGAGGCTCCAAACGCCACGGCAGCATCTCTTCCTCTGGGGCTGGGGGGGGCATTATTAACCAGATCCTTAATAAACGATTTATTTTAATAAACCTGGGGTAATTTTGGGAAGGGGGGGTGGGGGGATGGATAAGTTTGGATAAGTGAAGTATGAAATGCCACGGGAAGGCCACGAACTTCAAAAAGCTTGGTTAGCAGGGGGAGGTGGGGTTGATTGTGCCTCACGCAGGGGGTTTGTTGCGCCGTGGCTTTGACACCAGCGAAAACACCGCGAACCCCTCTCCTGGGAAGGCATCTTGGGATGAAATGCTTGCTGCCTCCCCCCCTCTCCGCGCTTCCGAAATACCCGGTTGACGTGCAGCCTTCAAGGCTGCTGAACGAGTTTTTCATCCGCAGGCAGATTTTGCTGTCGCATTCTCACTCGCTTTCCTAAAATAAAGGGGGGAGAAAAAAAAAAAATCAAAAAAAAAGAGAAAAAATCCTTGTGCTAATTTAATCTAGCCAGGCATCTTGCTGTCCTGCCTGATAATATCTCTCCAATCTGTCATTTCCAACAGACAGCTGTTTATTTGTTTGGCTTTTTTTTCCCCCGCACTGGTCTTGAAATATCTCCTCTGCTTTCTCAAGCAGCCTAGAGCTGCCCCGGGGATGTCCTAAGTCCCCCCCTTCTTTTGGTGGGGGCCCTGGGTGAAAACATCTCCCTTCTGCAGGAAAAACCCTACAACAACCTCAGACAGAGAAACCTGTCAAAGAATACCCAACTTACGTGCTGGTCTTGTAGGTGTTTGGGGTTTCTGAGCCAGCGTCCTGGCACGCAGCTGGCCAAAGCACTGAAGAACAACCTGGTGCAGGTCTGGAGATCCTGATGGGAGCTCCTCTCCAAACCGAGCACGGCACCACAGAGAAGTACCAGTGCTGCTGGTGAATTATTCAGCAGCATCAACTGCAAAGAAGGAAATGATTAAATACAAGTTACTCCTTAGAATCCACAGCAAAAGGAGGAAAAAAAGCAATTAAATATGACAGCGTACAAGAGACAAGAGACCACTTGGGTTGCTTCCCACAGCCTGGACCTCCATGCTTCTCCATGAGCTGTTGTATGGACTGAAAAAAATGACCCAAGGAAAGAAAAACAACCAAATTTGATTAATTCTGGCACCCAGCACTCAATTTGTAATTGCTTTCAACCACGACTGTTGGTCAAACACTGAATCTGGGTACCACTCGATCATCCGCATTTTCATTTTACTTGTTACTTATTATTATTTATCTATTTACTGTTATTTATGGTGACTTTAATAGCTTTAACTCCTTGTTGGGGAGAAAAAAAAAGTCCAAACCGAACGAAAAACCACGCAGCATTTAAAAATTGGCAGAAGTGTCACAACAAGCTTCTTGGGAAGTATAAGAACACATGGTCAAATATTTGGCTGATGAAATGGAGTGAGGGAGGATAACTCTGCTACCCACAACAGGCAGGAACAGGCACGGGATCAAATCCCACCGGTTTTTGCTAGATCCCTTTCCCAAGTATCCACCTGTGGCTGCCATGGAGCCAGGAAAGGAGACGTCCCCTTTGGCAATCAACACCCACGGTGCTTCCCCTTGAGCCCCAAAGCCCACCTCAGCCCCATGGGTCATGCCTCTGAACCCCACAGAAGCTCCATGGGGCAAGTCTCCAAGCCCCACAGACACCTCAGCTCCATCACACATTCCCCTCACCCCTACAACAGCTCCACAGGGCATATCTTCAAGCCCCACAGCAACTCCACAGGGCATCCCCCAAGCCCCACAGCCACCTCAGCCCCATGGGGCATCTTCCCGAGCTTCACAGCAGCTCCATGGGGCACCCCCCTGAGCCCCACATCCACCTCAGCCCCATGGGACACTCCTCTGAGCTCCATAGCAGCTCCATGGGGGATTTTTACAAGTGCCAGAGAAACCACCTCAGCTCCATGGGGCATCCCCTCAAACCCTCAATAGATCCATAGAGCATGTCCCCAAGCCCCCCCAGCGACCTCAGCTCCATGGGGCATCCCTCTAAACACCACATCAGCTCCATGGGCCATCTCCCCAAGCCTCACAGCCACCTCAGCCCCATGGGGCATCCCGCTGAGCCCTACAGCAGCTCCATGGGGCATGTCCCCAAGCCCCCACAGCCACTTTAGTTCCATGGGGGATACCTCTAAG